GTAAACGGCAGTGCAGGTTGCTGTGCATGGGATTGTGCCACTTGGGCCACATTCTGGCCCTCCTGATGGCAATGAGAAGGATCTGTGGTGGGAAGATGTCTTTTGAAGTTTATGGCAAGATCTAGTAGGAGAATCATAATGCTGACCCTGGGGTTCTGACATCCTGGGTTGCTGCTAGAGTAGATACACCGATAGAGTAGAGTGGCCGACTGTGGAACATCCATCAGCCACTGAACCAGAACATCCTGCTCTAAGGGAGGCACTGTCAGATCCAAGTCAAGAAGTTGGATGACTCACCCTAAGATGGAAGGAATACAGTCCAGATCAGTTCTGAGCAGTCCCTGAGGAAACAAGTCCCCTCGGTCATCACCATGGCGGCACCAGCACCTCACCCTCAGTTGACCCGACAGTTGCATGATGGACCACCCTCTAGGACTAGCTCACAGCGGAGAATGAAGCCTGAGCTTTGCTGACAGATACCAGCTCAGTGCGTGGATGCAAGCCCAAATGGATTGCAGCAGCCCTAGAGGCTCACACAGAAGTGGCCAAAAAAGACAGTGGTGAGGGCAAATTCTCTCAAAGGGCTGAGCTTCTGGTACTGCACCTGGTCACCCACTGTATGTGAAAAGAGGCATGACCTGGTGTAAGAATATATAGAGATTCGAGGGCATTGGTGAATGATTTAATTTATTGGTCAGGGGCCTAGAATGAGTAAGATTAAAAGATTGGGGGCAAGAAAATATAGAGAAGAGGCTTGTGTATGGACCTGTGGGAATAATAATAAGGTGTGAAGATCTTTGTGTCACATGTTAACACTCTCCAGAGGATGGCCATCATGGAAGAGACACTACAACGCAAAGTAGAATAAAATGACTTGACCTCTACTTAATCACCCCAATAGAAGGACAATGGTTTAGGGTGTAGTCTCTATGGTGACATTAGGGGTCCAACTCTATGGGCTCCCACTGGTCTACCTACTGCTGCTGCCAAAACAGAGTCCACTGCTGAGCATCTGATTTGGAATCATCCCTGGGGGAAACCAAGCAGCCACTTCTTGGACAAGTTGATTAAATTGTACTCCTCCCCCAAAATGCTAATTTTATTTTATAGAAATTGGCACATATTATAGATATGGGTTTGATTTCCTTGCATGCAACGCCTCAGCTAGCCCTGCTATCCAAAAGTTCACATATTGTCTGATCCACCAGCATTGAATCTTGTCTAGATCCACTTTATAACAAAAGTATTTGCACACAGAGGTACTTCTAGCCAAGACAGCAGCATAGGTAAACACAGTGCTCACCTCCTCCCACTACCACCTCAAAATTACACTAAACTACAGAAATCCATCATTCAGAACTCCTGAAATCGAGCTGAATGGAAGTCCTATAACTATAAAATTAAAGAAGCCACATGGAGACTGATAGGAGGGGCAGAGGAATGGATAGGGCTGGTCTCACACCCATGTGCAGCAGATAAAAATCAGGAGCGATACCTTGTTTGTGGAAGTCCCCCCTGAGGAGTGAGAATCCCAGACCCACTCCCAGCCTAGGGTCCCAATCCCAGGAAGAGAAGTCCCTATACCTTCTGGCTGTAAACAGTGGAGATTGAGGCTGAGGCTGCTAGAGTCCCAGGCAGTTCCTCCCAAAGGGCCTGCACACATACTGACCTGGATTCATTCCCTCTGAAATCCAGCAGCTGGAAAGGCACCAGAGACATGTGGGAAGGAACTGAATTGTTTGGCATTAGGGCAAGAGCTGGAGGGGCAGCTTTCTCTCAGACAGGAGTGCTGGCAGAGGCCATTGTTCCTTTTCTGAGCCCTGCCCCACAGAGCCAGCAGGTGGGCACCATATCTGAGACTCCATCAACTTGGCCTACGCTGTTTGCTCCACCATGGTGATTCCCTGATACCCTTCTTCACATAACTTTCTAGCCCACCCATGCTGTTTCCAGGGGCTTTACCATAGGAATGGCCTATCTTGGCTCAATGCTTCAGATTTTCCTAAAATCTCTCAAACACATGGGAGATTCTCCAAGGTGGTTGGAGGTCAGTGGGTCAGTGGTCATAGTCAGTCTGCAGTTGGCCTAAGGGAGCCCTGTACATCTAGCTAAGTTGACCTAGGCCCCCCACTAACAGCAGCCAGCCTTGGTTCACAGCTTGGCCTCACCTGGGCACCTCCAAGCCCAGCACAAGAAGCAGCCATCTACAGATGGCTTTGTAGCTTATGTCAGGTGGCCCCAGGCAGAACACAGATGGTGGCTGACCTTGACCTGCACCTTCGGGAAGACCTCAGATCCTGTGCACCCAGTGGAGAGCTTCAGGTCACATCACAGCATCATCACCCAACCACCTCCATGAGCAACACACTCAAAGGCAGACTCAGTGGGTACCAGAGCCCTGCTGAAGTAAGTCCTGCTCTGTGAAGTGGGTCCCTACACAGCTGATCCTCCAAATTGATTGGAGGTCTGTTGCCAGTGGTCATAGCCAGTCCTTGCAGCTGATCAGACTGAGTAAATTGTTCCCATTGAAATACCAACTGCAATCAAGACTCAACTACAATAAGAGGTGTACAGCCCACTCAGGGGCACACCTTGAATTTCTAGCTGGGATAATAGAGGAGGCTGTGGAACTGGACCCTATAGAACACCTACTTCTGTAGGCCACTCTATCAAGTCTGAAAGACATAGCAGCTCTACCTAATCCATATAAACAAACACAGAGACTGCCAAAGTGAGGAGATAAGGAAACATGTCCCAAATGAAAGAACAGAACAAAACTCCAGAAAAAAAAAAAAAAAAAAAAACCCTGAACAAAATGGAGACAAGCAATCTACTAGATATAGAGCTCAAAACACTAGTTATAGAGATGCTCAAGGAACTTAATGAGAACCTTAACAGCATAAAAAAGGACCAATCAGAAATGAGGGATACATTAACTGAAATAAAGAATAATTTACAGAGAATAAACAGTAGAGTACATGAATCTAAGAATCAAATCAGCAATTTGGAATATAATGAAGCAAAAAACACCCAATCGAAACAGCAAAAAGAAAAAGAATCCATTGCTCAGCTGGTGTAGCTCAGTTGGTTGAGTGTCATCCCATGCACCAAGAGTTCACTGGTTCAATTCCTGGTTAGGGTGCATACTTGGGTTGTGGGCTTGATCCCCAGTAGGGGGGCATGCAGGAAGCAACCCATCAATCTTTATCTCTCACCAATGCTTCTATCCCTCTCTCCCTCTCCATCTCTCTCTAAAAATCAATAAAAACATATATATTTTTAAAACAAATCCAAAAATATGAGAATAGTTGGGGGGACATTTGGGACAACTTCAAGCATACCAACATTTATCATGGCAAAGGAGAAGATAGAGCAAGAAATTGAAAAAAAAAAAAAAAAAATGACAGAAAACTTCCCCTACCTGGTGAAAGAAATAGATTTACAAGTCCAGGAAGCACAGAGACTCCCAAACAAGAGGAACTCAAAGAGGCACACACTAACACACATTATAATTAAAATGCCAAAGGTTAAAGACAAGGAAAGAATCTTAAAAGCAGCAAGAGAAAAGCAGTTAGTTACCTACAATGGTACCCATAACACTGTCTGCTGATTTCTTTTTCTTTTTCTTTTTAATTTTTTTTTTTTCCAGCTGATTTCTTAACAGAAACTTTGCAGGCCAGAAGAGAATTGCAAGAAATATTCAAAGTGATGAAAAGCAAGGACCTACAACCAAGGTTATTCTACCCAAAAAGACTATCATTTAGAATTAAAGCACAGAAAAGAGCTTAGACAAGAAAAAGTTAAAGGAGTTTATCTGGAATAGTTGTTTCCCTGCTACCTGGTTCACTCCTATTCGCTCATCACAGTTTAGCTCAGATGTCATCCTCAAGACCTTCTCCGCCTCCTGGACTATGCCAAACCCCTTCCATCACTCCTATAACATCTTTTTTTTCTTTCTCAGCCTCAATCCCCTGAAATAATCTATTTAGTGTCCACACTTCTTTTCATTCTCCACAAGGACTAGCTAGCATGTGACTGTTATATGACTAGTATGCAGCATATACTACAGGACAGTAGACATTAAATATTGACTAAATAAATGGATTTTGCCAAAGCATCTCCTAGGATTTCAGCTCTGCAACAAGTTAGATCACTTGTCTGAGCATCCGTTTGCTGGAGTATGAGATGGGGATAATAATCCCTCCCTTACTGGTTGTTTTGAGGATTAAATGTGATGTATTAGTAAAGCCCTTAGCATGGTGCCTGGCGTAAAGCATGTGATTCCATGCATTGTTAACAATCAAGAAAGACTATATCAGTCTATAGACGCCAGCATATTTTGACACTCTCACTCTTTACCCTCGCCAGCGTTGAATGTTGTGTTTGTAAGTGTTTTTATAAATATTTTTTAGGCCAAAAAATGGCCTCTTGTAGTTTTATGCCAACGTGCTTTTAAGCCAATAGCTTTGTCAGTAAGATCACAGCACCCGCCGCTCCCAGCCCACACCGCACAGAGCTTTTCTCTTCCTGTCACAACTCGTTGGGGGAAGGGTGCCTGGGAAGGGGTCTCCAATGTGGGGGTGCACTGTGCCAGGCCCCAGCAGCTAAATGGCATGTACTGTTCGCTGTGCCCTCAGTTCTGCCAGTCCTCTCACTTGTCCTGTGAAAAGAGATGGGACCCAGCTCCACACCAACACAGGTGGCTGCCTCTACCTCGACCGACCGTTTCCAAGTGACGTTGAGCTCAGCAGGCCCAAGGCTCCCCCACCCCCCACTTCCTGTGTTGGCTCAGAGCCCGCCTCCCCTCCCAGCCCTGGTGCCTGCTTCGGGTGATGGTGTGTCTCCCTCTTCCAAAGCCCCCTTCTCACCCAGCACTGGGAGCAGTGGCCCCGAGTCCTCGTCCTCAGCGGGAGTCCTCAAAAGGTCATTGGTTTCTCTTCCAGAAGCTCTAGGCCAGCGGGCCTGCGCCATCTCCATTCAGTGAGTTCCGGGGGAGGAAGATGCCATCGGGGAAGCTCTGGAGCGTCCTGGGGCTCTGCCTCTTATCCGGTGAGTAGGATGAATCGAAAAGGGCAAGGCCAGGGGCATCATGCACTGGGAGGTGTAAGGGGCTGCGTGTGTCACGGTAGCTGAGCTGGAGGCTGATGGGGAAACGTGGCCGGGTCCTCAGAGGCAGCTGAGGAGAGCAGTGGGGTGATCATCTCTCCTGAAAGCGGGCTCTGTGCCTTCAAGTAGCATCTCCTCCCGTCCCTGGCCTTCCAGCCCTTGGGAGCTGATTTGAAGGCAATGAGCAGAGCTGAGGGTGCTCCTTGTTAGGGGGATGCTGACTGGTTGAACCCCAGCTCTGTGCAGGGCGTAGCCAGCTTCACTTGAGACAGCAAAATACTCCATAGTTTTCGATTCTTCTCAATGACTCAAGAGCTTTGCATGGTGTAGTCATTTGTGAAGCAAAGTGGAATAATGGATAAATAACCAGAGTGTTTTCAATCTCTATATATAAAAGCCTAAGTGACCATTACAACCAGTGGGCCAAACAATCAGTTGACTGGTCACTTCGACATGTACTTACCACCAAGGGAGTCATACAGGAGCTGGCCTCTGGTGATCAGTGGGCTCCCACAGCCAACCTCCTGCAGTCCCTCACCCAGCCAGCTGGCCCCAATCGCCCAGATTGTCAGCCAGGCCGAGGAATCCCACCCATGCCTGAATTGGTGCACCAGGCCTTTAATATTTTATATATGATACATTTCTTTAAGGTTGCCATTTATTGAGTTCTAGATACTCTGTAAAAATATAAATAAATAACTAAATAAATAAAAACCTTCACATGTGTTAACCAGGTTATCCTCACATCCATCTTGGAGGGTAAACATCACCTCCTATTTTGTAGATGAAGAAATTGATCCTCACTGAGGGTAAAGAGCTTGTTTCAAATCACACGGGAGTGCTGAGTTCACCTGAGCACTGTCTCTCTCTGCAGGCTGCACCCATAGGGGCTGCACCACAGCGGGCGATGGCTCCTGGACCCTGGTTTCAGGGCCCTGGGAAGTGCCCCTGGCGGGCTCGCACCTCAGCCATCACCGCAGGGTCTGCCCAGCCCGCTCCTCCTGAGTGTCTCGGGCTCGAATGTGCACACACCGTCCGGACCTTGTTAGGCTGCAGCTTGGGCTGGGGCTCGGGATAGGGGTTGCGATTCTGCGTGTCTAACAGGCTCTGAGGCTCAATCCATTCCTGGTCCTGGTCCCAGGGACACATGCTGAGTGTCAGGTGCAGGGGTGGCTCCTGAGGAAGTGGGCGGGCATTTCCCTTAAAGGCCTATAGGATAAAGGATGCTTTGCAGAGAGAAAAGGAGAGGGTGTGGGAGGGAGAAAGGGAGAGAAAAGGAGGGAGAAATGGCCATTTGGCCCCATGAGGATGTGCCACCTGCTGTGAGTGTAGGAGAGGGACAGAGGAGTCTCAGCCAGTGTGGGGCTTTGGGTAAGAGAGGGCTGGGTCCACAGAGACCTTTCAGGCAAACCCAGGGAAACTGGTCAGGGTGACGAATCCCAGTTACTGCAGAGCAAGGGCCGGGGCCTGGGAGGGGCCAGGCTTCTCTGTTGTACAGACTGCACCTGTGAGCAACCAGGGCCTCAAACGTGTCCGTCTCCCAAATGCAAAACAAACGGAAACACTGAGACATCGGCCCCCGCATGCACACCTCCCCTCCCCCCACTCCCACGGCCCTGCCAGGAGCTCATGGGCCTCCCTGGTCGGAGACCGTTTCCACCGTGAAGGCATGGCTGCCTTCTCCCCCCGTCACCCGAAAGCACCGGCTCTGTCTACCCGCTGTTTGTCAGACGCTGCTTTCGCGCTGAATGCGAGGTGCTCTCCTGCTGTTTCACCCCGGCGTGGCCAGGAGTTAGGATACAGGAGGGCCTCCCCCGCAGGGTGTGGGCAGGGCGATCAGTGTCCAGAAAGGGCCGGACAGGACAGGGCTCTGCCTGGGACTGCAGCACCACACTGACTAACGGTTTCCTTCTGATTTTGTTCCAGTTGGCGCTTGGGGGCAAGAAGGTGAGTTGCGTTCTTTCCTGTTCTTTCCTCGTTATGAAACCCGCCCACATTCTTTAGGTGTGAGAGCTGGCCTCCCTCAGGGCTTCCCCGGGCACGCAGCAGGGGTTCCTACCACCTGGTCTTTGCTTTTTCTTCCTAATTCTGGAGGTCTGGCTAAAGCCAGGGAGAGGGAATTGCAGAGACCGTGGCAACGAGTGAGCCCTGACAATTCAGAGGAAACAAGTATGGCTGTCACATCGAGATGGAAGTGCCAACCATTTAATCACTTGCATCCGTAGTTGGTGTGAGGTCTTGAGGAGGGAATGTAATACTCTGCGTGCGAGTGCGTGTGTGCACATGTGTGTGCGTGTGTGTGTGTGCACATGCTTGCGTGTGGGACAGGCCTGGGCTGCAGTCTCTGCCCAGCAGCAGTGTCCGTGTCCCAGTGTGGGGAGACTCCCCAGCCTGCCAGCTGCTCCAGGCTGAGGGAGGACCTGGGAGCCGTCACGGTGCCGGCCTGCGCTCAGCGTCCGTGGGGCCTTTGCTTCCTTTTCCTTCTCTTGCCACGCAGCAGGCTCCCGCGCTCAGCACTGACAAAGGGGGTGTGCAGCACGCAGTGCGCTTCTGACAGCTCGTCCCTTCGGAAGGCTGTTGCCGCTTGGCGTTCTTTGCTCAGCTTTGGCGTCTGTTCGGTGCAGCCCTCAGGCCCGCTGCGGCAGCACGCGGACCAGGCTGCTGCTCCCGCTCCCCGCGGTAGATGGACAGCTGATTCGGTGTAAGTGTGAGGTGTGCAGCGTGATGGCTGTGTATGTGCTGTGAGATGATTACTCAGAACTCACGTGTGTACGTGGCCATCAGTTGTCTAACGTAGGACGAAGGGCCACGCCGTCTCACATGGGCCCCGGGCACGTGGAGAGCATGTGACATAGAGGCTGGGGGACAGTCCTCACCCCCGGAGCGGGCTCTGATCTCACAGCTGCTAGAAGTGTAGCTAACGGTTTCTCATGCTTTCTTTTTCAGAGAATAAAGACAGTGATAATGATGCGTGCATGTGGCTGATCACTCACGCACTCAGAGAATGTTTGCTCTTTACAACCTCCTTTCAAATGTGGAACCAAATGGTGGTGGGGGACAGTCGCCATAACACACTGAGGACCAGAACTGCTAGAGGAAACGTGCCAGGCTCCTCCAGTGGGCGTGTGGGCTTGTTCTGCCACACGTGGCCCTGAGCACACACTCCGGGAAGAAGATGCCTGTGGGTGAGGGCAGAGCCACCACAGCGTTAGTGTGAATCTCGAGGTCACTGCCGGCAGAGACGGTGTCTGAGTCAGCTGGCTGGCACAGAACAGGTGCTCCATGCATGTTCTTTGAGTGCGTGAGTGATCAGCCACATGCACGCATCATTAATTCCTCCCCTCAAGAAGCAGGTGTGTGGTGGCACAGTGTATTGTCTGCCATGAGGTGGCAGATACAGAGCAAAGTAAAATATAAAGAGGAGTGGTAAACTCTGCGGAGAGTAGCTGGGGAAGCTGAGCTTGAAATCATGAGCTTGTGTTTGAGGGGAAAATAGTATTTTAGGCAGAGGGGTGGGCTGCGCAGGAGGAGGCTGAGAGTCTAACTCTGAGGCTGGCGGCCGTGTCTGAATCCCGGCAGGGCTGGCTTGCTGGCTCCTTTGACTAATTTATGGAACCTCTCCGTTCCACAGCATCGTCATGTGTGAAATGGAAAGAACAATGACACGCAGGTTGCAGGGTTGTTATGAGGGCTGATGAGTAGTTCTCGCAGGATGTTCTCTGGGCTGGAAGACAGATGGTGAATTTTAGCTGTTATCGTATGGAAAGCATGCAGCCTAGATAACAGGCACTGAAGATCACTGAGCCTGGATGTTCTGGGTACTACCCTCCACATTTACCCACGTCTCCTCATCTAACAACCAAGGTTAGAACGGAAGTCAATAGTCAATCACAGAGGTTAGTGAAAATGCAGGCCTAGCTGACCCTGAAGCGCACGTTCTCGGCCTCAGTGAACACTGCGCCCGGGTGCGTGCGGGGAGCGTGAGCACTGGGCCTTTGTGTGAGCACTGTGAGCCGAGGCTCTGCCACTGAATTTGTGCCGATATAAGCTGTGAACAATTTCCTTTACGTTTTCTTGTCCACACACCAAGCAGTGAAATGTCTACTTCCTTTTAAATGGTTTTATGTACGATTTCTCATTTGTTTAACATTTTAAAAAATGGCAGTGCTGAAAAATTATTCCTAAGTCAAAATATTATCGATTGTCTATTATCATTATACTCCACTCCCAGTTAGTGGCAGACGGACAAACGTGGGGACGGCTTGTTTACATTCCCGGGATCTCAGCCAGAGAGAGGCTCAGCTCTGTGCCCCACGGGAGCGGAACCTTCCAGCGAAGGGAGGGAGAACTCACCTTGTTCTCTCACATCTTCTCTCCTTCCTAATCCATCTGGTTCTCACAGATACCTGGTGAGGTAGATGTTTTATAGCTCCATCTTCCAGATAAGAACTGTGGCTTAGAGCAGTTAAAATGCCTTGCCCTTGGTCACAGCCTAAGGCAGATCTGGAATTCAAACACAGGACTTTGAACTCGGCCCAGTGACCTGTCCCCAATAGCACCTGTAGCAAAACACCCTCAACAGAGAGAGGGCTCTCTCTCTCTCTCTCTCTCTCTCTCTCTCTCTCTCTCTCTCTCTCTCTTTCTCTCAATATATTTTTATTGATGTCAGAGAAGAAGAGAGAGAGAGAAAGACATTAATGATGAGAGAGAATCATTGATAGGCTGCTTCCTGCACGCCCCACACTGGGGATTGAGCCTGCAACCTGGGCATGTGTCCTGACCAGGAATGTATCCGTGACCCCCTGGTTCATAAGTCAACAACCACTGAGCCACGCCGGTGGGCAGGGCTGTCCCTTTGCACCGCCCCTCTCCTCTCCAGGCGCCCTGTCCAGGCTGCAGCACAGCTAGTGCCGCCAGGGTCCCAGCCACCAGTCTGCCAAGAAGCGAGCACACACCGCCGCCCGCAGCCCGCAGCCTGCAGCCGCGGGGAGGTCGCCGCTGTGGGGAACGTGCTGGATCCCCAGCTCCATAAGGGATTCCAGGCGTCCTCCCTCCACAAAATAGCCGGGAGTTGGTTATATTCAGGGACATTTAAAATAAAGCCACTTTTTATTGGAAGAACCATTCCCTTAAAATGTATATAGTGCTTCCCATAGTTTAAGGGCTCATGCTGGTATATTCTCAATTTGACCTGTCTGAGATATATCTATAAAGTCACCTCATGGACTAACAACAGAGTGTATCCCTTTCCGGCTTAGGGCACCCTAAGGACGGGCCCTCTTGGGGATCCCTGGGGACTTGAAAATTTTTACCAATAACGTCATTTCCTCACCATCCCTTTCTCTTCTCACTTCCAGGTGACTCTTCACCTTCTCCAAAGAGTAAGTCAGCCCTCGCTGAGGTGTGCCTGGTGAGGGTGTGAGTCAGTGAGGCCAGAAGGAAAGGAAAGGAGTGAGAGACGCTCCCGAGAGGGGGCCCTGACAACAGTGTGTTCCCAGCTCCTGTTCAGACGCCTTGCAAGCAGGGACTTGTGAAGTCTTTCTCTGCTTCCACCCGCTCCTTCCCAAGTCCCGTGTCCACTCCTAAACGCTAACGTCGCCTTCAAAGAGTTGTCTAGTCCCGTTGTTGTTTTTTTGTTCGTTGTTGTTATTGTTGAGGGGAGGAGGTTGGTTTTGTTGTTGTTTTGTTGATCCTCACCCAAGGATATTTTTTTCCATTGCTTTTCAGAGAGAAAAGAGTGGGAGGGAGGGAGGGAAGAAGGAAGGGAGAGAGAAACATCGATGTAGAGAGACACATCGATCGGGTGCCACCTGCACACTCCCCATCCAGGGACAGGGAGGAAATCTGAAATCTGCTATGTGCCCTTGACCAGGAATCCAACCCAAGACCTTCCATGTGTGGGCTAACGTCCTAACCACTGAACAATACTGGCCATGCCCCCTTTTGTATAACCCCATTGTCATGCCTTCCAGCCAGCAGAGTTCCCTCTTGACAACAAAATCTAAGACCTGAATGACAGATGACTATCTGCATCTGGTTGGCTCTTTTTTTTTTTTTTTTTTTTAAATATATTCCATTGACTTCCTACAGAGAGGAAGGGAGAGAGATAGAAAGCCAGAACAGAAACGTCGATGAGAGAGAAACATCGACCAGCTGCCTCCTGCACACCTCCCACTGGGGATGTGCCTGCAACCAAATGCACATTCCCTTGACCGGAATCGAACCCGGGGTCCCTCACTCCACACGCAAACCGACACTCTACCACTGAGCCAAACTGGTTTCGGCATGGTTGGCTTTTTTGTTACTACTTTCTTCTTCTGATTTCCCTCTCTTCTCTCTACTCCCCAGCATTTAAAGTCTCCATCTCCGGAACCAGTGTGGAATTGACATGTCCTGAGGAACCTGATTCTGAGCAAATAAAATGGGAAAAAGATGGCGTAGAAAAAAAAAATCATCACGAGGAACAGCTGTTAATAGACAATTTCTCCGAAATGAAAGACAGTGGTCATTACAGCTGCTACAAAGAGAGTGGCAATCGCCACTACCTCTACCTGAAAGCAAGAGGTAATGTGGGTCTCAGCAAGCACAGCTAGGCTCTTTAGGGAGGACCATCTCAAAGGGCTCCTCCGTCACCCCCTCCCCCAGCTCACAGCCCCGCCTCTCTGTGCCTCTTCTACGCTCAGTACTGGGACTCTCTGGGGCCCCACGGCACCACGTTTTCTGCAACTCCGGTTAAACATCAATGGGGGAGGAGCGGGGGGGCTGTCTAGGCCAGCTCCGTCAGCACGCCATCTACAGCAACTCCTAGGAGACAGGAGGGGGCCACGGCCTTAGGCACACCCCGTGACGCCACACCACGTGAGCTCACCTGATGCTTTAGCCAGATGTGCATCCTTCCGAAGGACTGGCAGAGAGACTCAAAGATGCTGTGGTAAATGGCACTGCCCAGGCACCGTAGTAAACCCTGACGGCAGCAGGCGTTTATGGGTGCTTACGTCTCAAGCACTATACCATAGACTGGCCGGGGCTTTTGTTGTTGTCAGTCCTCATCTGGGGATATTTTTCCAGTGATTCTTCCGTAGAGTCGGGGAGAGCGGGAGAGACAAAGAGAAACGTTGATGTGAGAGAAATACATCGATGGGTTGCCTCCTGGACGAGCCCGACCAGGACCGGGCTGGGGAGGAGCCTGCAACAAGGTACATGCCCTTGACCAGAATTGAACTTGGGACCCTTTGGTCCACAGGCAGATGCTCTATCCACTGAGCAAAACCGGCCAGGGCGGACTTTTTCCTCTCAAGTCATCCTCTCAACAAACGTATGAGTGAAATGGCTTGTGCTTCCCACAGAGATGAGGGGACATCTTTGGGGGCTGAGAGCACATTCTCGTCCTCACGGCAGACAGCAAGGAGCTGGGACTAGAACCAGACTGTCTGAGGCCAGAGCTTCTCTCCAGGATGCCACGTTCTGTGGCTGTTACAACGTCCTGCACGGGGGAGGGAGGAGGCCACGGGCTAGCAATGGCCGGGCGTGAGGTCTGAAGGGAGAGCCTGGCCTGTCCCTCCTGGCCTCGGGGTCCCATGTCTGCCGTCTCAGTGACTTCCCCTCCCCGCCGCCCGCAGTGTGTGAGAACTGCATGGAGGTGGACGTAATGGTCGTGGCCGGCATCGTCGTGGCCGACGTGTGCCTCACGCTGGGCGTGCTGCTGCTGGTGTACCGCTGGAGCAAGAGCAGGAAGGCCAAGGCCAAGCCGGTGGCCAGAGGCGGGGGTGGCGGCCGGCCCGGCGGTGAGAGCGGGGCTGCGGGAGGGGCGGGCAGCGAGGCCCGCGGGCAGGACAGAGTCCGCAGGGCCCTCACTGTGGCCGTGATCCTGACATGGCTCCACGCCTCAGATCCACTCGCCTTCCCCTCAGAAAGGGCGAGCGTTCCTATGGGCAGGGCTCCCTTCAGAGCCTGAGGCTCCGCCCGGGAGGGGGGGGGGGCACCGCTCCGCCTTTCCTTCCCTCCCTTCCTCCCGAGAAAGGGAGCCAGGAAGACCTGGAGCTGAGGAGTCACAAGATGGTGGAGCAGGGGGGCGTTCGGGATGGGCTGGGGAAGAGAGAAGAGGTGGCTGGACTGGAAGAGGGAGAGGGAGAGGAGGGAAGGGGGTGCGTCCTCCATCTGGTGGCGTTCCCCCATGAAAACCAATCTCCCCCCGCCCCCCTCCGCAGGACAAAACAAGGAGAGGCCGCCACCGGTGCCCAACCCCGACTATGAGGTAACGTGGACGGAGGGGCCGGGTCTAGAGGAGGGACAGTGGGACTGCTCATCCCTGTCACACCTTACAGCCCCCGCTCAACCCCAAGACACCCCCCCCCCCCACAGGCCGCCTCTGCCCTCACCGGGGCTGCCAGTTCCACCACCAAGGAGGGACTGGTGGGACCTTTTCTCCTTTTTTAACGTATTTGCATTGATTTGGGAGAGGAAGGGAGAGGGAGAGAGACAGAGTGATGAAGAGAATCATTGATCCGCTGCCTCCGCAGGTCCCCCACCGGGATGAGCCTGCCACCTGGGTGTGCGGCCCTTGATCAGAATCGAACCCAGGACCTATCGATCTGTGGGCCGGCACGCCATCCACTGAGCCAGACAAATAAGGCTGGCTTATTTCTCCCTCAGCTGGGACACGGCCATGGGAAAAACACACATGTAAATTCTAGCATGAGGAATCGGGGCTGATGCTCCCCCACATGCACCTGTGCAGCCATGCCAGTTGTCGAATGTCACGGACATATTGCTCTCCCTTCCCCCTCCCCCCAACACACACACACACGGCTGGACACCCAGCCTCAGCACCCTGGCCCGCCTCTGACTGGCCAGGGGAGGGCTCCTGCCTGGCTAGCCGACGGCCATCGGGTTCCTCTGAGTGGCCTGTGTGTGACTGCAGCTGTTAAACACGGCTGCTCTCACCCGGACACCCCCACAAACATTCACTGGCACCAGCCAAGCACGTGCAGTCACTGTCCCCCTGTGCCTGTAGCTCTGGCCAGAGCCCGGAGGCATGTCTTCCCACTCTCACTGCTGAGATGGGGACGCTGGCTCCCAGGGAGGGACCAGAGCCGGGCAATGCCAGCCTGCCTCCCGCGCCCGGTCCAAGGCTCTTGCTTTGCTCTGGAGCTGGATCCTCAGAGGCCCCGCGTGCTCCCGCCCTGCTGACCTCCTTCCCTCCCCCCAGCCCATCAGGAAAGGCCAGAGGGACCTGTACTCCGGACTGAACCAGAGAGGCATCTGACCCTCCTGAGGACCCGCCTCCCGCGGCAGGCCCGGCTCCTCCCTCTCCGGGCACCGCTCCGCCCTGGACCCCCTGGAGATCTGTCCCCCTGCCCGGAGGGGAGCTCCCCTGCAGCCTGCCCGCCCTCCCCTCCCCCCACACACACTCCCCCTCCCGCACCTCTGCTGGAAGCCATCCCAGGATATTGCTGCTTCGTTCTCTGAAATGGCGCTACTCACCTACCACCCTGCACTCTGGCCGGGACATCGTCTGCTCTTCCCCACACTCCCTCCTCCCTCCTCTGGGTGTTCCTCAGCGCCCTCCTGCCCCTGCGACTAAGCCGCCACCCTCACTGTCCCCCTGCCGTCCACTGGCCAGGCTCTCCTTTGGGGTCGCTCCATGCCGCCCTGGGTCCGGCTGGCAGGGTCCGCCGAGCTCCCACTGCCCTCCCCAGGTCCCTTCCATCCGGAACGTGCTGGGCCCTGCGGGCGGGAGGAGAATAAAGTGCACGTGGCTGACAGAACCGCTGTCCTCTTCCTGGGGGGCCTTCGGGCTGCCTGTGACCACGTCCCCGCGGGTCCCCAGACCGGCGCCTCTGTCTGTCCGGCGGGCGGCGGCGTCTCTGAGAGAGCACTGGGGAGCCAGAGAGAGGACAGTTAGCCATTGACTCCCTTCTCCTGGGCAAAACGTCCAAGGTGGCCAGTCCGCACCGGGTGAGGCCGGCAGAGGCTTCAGAGGCGTGCGGGCAGCAGGTGACCGGTGCAGGGCCGAGGGGGGCGGGGGCAGGGGGGTCTCCCCAGTGGCACCACCTCACTGCTAGGGACTGCGGCACACCCTCCCCCTCCTGCCGCTCCTCATCAGAACGGCAGAGCCGCAGAGGCAAAGCCGAGCCCGGGTAGGGCAGGTCCAGGCCTGGGCCTCCACCATCTGCAGAGGCAGCACACGTCTGCGAGGTCAGAGGCCGTGGCTGCCTCCACCCTCACTGCGCCCTGTGCCCGGAGCAGAGCCTGGCACTGTGTCCCCAATGCCGAGGGGACAGCCCCGGGGGCGATCGTGATCCAGATGCTGCATACCACAGTGACCCCCCACAGTGCCCTCTCCACTGGGACCCCCCACTGGGACCCCCCACTGGGACCCCCACTGGGACCCCTCCATTGGGATCATCACGGTGACCCCCCACAGTGACCTCTCCACTGGGACCCCCCACTGGGACCCCCACTGTGTCCCCCCCACTGGGACCCCCACTGGGACCCTCCACCGGATCGTCACAGTGACCCCCCACAGTGATCCTTCCCACTGTGACCCCCCACCAGGATCATCACACTGACCCCCCTACTGTGACCCCCTCCACCAGGATTGTCATGGTGATCTCCCCACAGTGACCTCCCCACTGTGACCTCTCCACAGTGATCCCCCACAGTGACCTCCCCACTGTGACCTCTCCACAGTGACCTCTCCACTGGGACCCCTCCACCAGGATCTTCATGGTGACCCTCCCACTGGGACCCCCCCCTCCAGTAATCTCCCCCCACTGTGACCCCCTCACTGTGACCCCTCCACCGGGATCGTCATGGTGAACCTCCCACTGGGACCCCCTCCACTGGGATCGTCACACTGACCCCCCACTGGGACCCCTCCACCGGGATCGTCACGCTAACCACCCCCCACTGTGACCCCTCCACCAGGATCTTCACAGTGACCCCCCCACTGTGACCCCTCCACCGGGATCGTCGCAATGACCCACACCTGGCTCCGTAATGGATGTCAGAGTCTGTGGGGAGACCTGGGCACATTTCTATTTCACTTCAAATTATGAAGGGAAAATTTCTTTAGTACAATTGGTTTGATGTCAAAACCTTATTTTTAATTCCAAAAGGCATTCTAGAAAGCGTTGATTTAAAAACTGGTGTTGCAGCCAGGTCGGGAGCGGCCAGGCCCGGAGCGGCCGGACCCGGAGCAGCAGGCCCAGAGCAGCAGCAACCAAGCCTGGAGCAGCCAGGTCGGGAGTGGCCAGGCCCGGAATGGCCGGGCCCGGAGCAACCGGGCCTAGAGCAGCCGGGTCGGGAGCATCCAGGCCCAGAGCAGCAGCAGCCAGGCCCGGAGCGGCAGTGGCCAGACCCAGAGCAGCTGGTTGTGGAACGAACCAGAGCAACAGAGGCCAGGCCCAGAGCAGCCAGCCCTGAAACAGCTCGCTCCTCGCCTGCCCACGCCCCAGGGTTGCCTCTCAGACATGGTTGGAAACTTTTGGGGGAACTTGAGAGTCTGCTGAATCAAGTGATGAAGGCTTAGATCTGGATGTGTTGAGTTAGTATAGCGCTGGAGTGTTGATCTGTGAGTGTCTTGTGTGGGGTCTGGATGAGGTTGGTTGATCTATTTGGAAATGTCTTTTGTGTGAAGTGTATCCTTGGGCATGTGAAGGTATTATTGATATGAGAAAATGCTAAGTAACTGATTTACTATCTGAAAAATTTAAAGTTCTGAAAGTTTAAGGTCTCTTGCCAAAAAGAGGTTTTAAAGCTAACACCTTAATTTTAATGGAGAAAGGGGAGGACAAGCCCTTCCCACCCAGAACAGGTAATCCAATTCCAACCAGCAGCTATCTTTAAACAATGTGTTCATTTATTATACATTTGAATGGCTACACCTTTTGATAGCCTAAGGGCAAGTTTACATGTAAACAAGTTTGCTTCTCAATTCCCAGGGCAGAAAAAAACAAGGTTTAAAATTATTAGATTTTAAAATTTATTCTTAGAAGTGTAAAAGTTTATTAATTAAAAAACTACAACAACAACAAAAAAAGGAGATTGAAAAACCTGATGAACAATATTAGCTGTTGATTGTAGTAGAGTCGGCGATATGGGAGGGGAGTGGACTGACTGTTCTCTGGGAAAGGGGGAGTGGTGGATGCAGGAAGAGACTGAACATAAACTGTGCACCTATGGATGAGGACAATGGGGGGTGGGGAGGGGGCGGAGGGTGGGGTGGGAACCTGGTGGAGGGGGGAAGAAATGAGGAACCTTTGTAATAATATGAACAATAAAGATTGATTTTTAAAAAACAACAACTGGTGTTTACCAGGTTAATTTGATTGTAAATGAACAGATATGTTTCTGTCAGAATGTTGATAAAGCTTTCATAAATGAGAGAAAAGGAAAGGAAGAGCAGCGGGTGGAGGGGGAGGGGGAGGTGGGAGGGGGGGGAGAGGGGAGAGAGCAGGCAGCCTCTCTCTGTGAGGGTGGCAGCCGGAGCGGCTGTGGTGCAGGAGCCAGGATGTGGGCTGCTCACCTGCCAGTGCGGGTGAGAGATGCCGCTGAGCCTGAGGCCAGTGCGGGAGGCCCCTGAGCCTCCCAGGGCCCAGGCGCAGCTTGCGGAGAGAGGCCTGAGCACTCACATGGGTCTGGATCCAGCTCAAGCCAGGGGGCTCTCCTCTCTCCCTCTTTGAACTCAGAAAGCTCCCTGTGACCACAGAACTGTCTGTGTATGTGACCAGGACAGAAAAAGCCATTGGTGGTGTGGACAGAAGGGGCCACGTGCTGACCTGACAGCTCAGGGCGGCCTGCAGGGCGGTCTTGCCAACTCAGACCTAAAGTCACCACAAGGATGGTGTGAAATGAAACCTTAACTAAAGCAGTAATGGTGCAGTCACCTCCTAGGCCGGGATCTTCCACGGAGCTCATCAGTCTTTCGGCATCAGTGATAATACACCCTTGAAATGTCTGGTAGCTTGTAACTTCCCTTTTCCCGGAGCCCCTGGGGCACAACCTGAGGTTCTGGGTGCCAGGACAGAGACCACAAAGTCCTTCATTACCGTGTTAATTGTTCCTGCACCCACCTAAGGACGTGCCCATCATTTTACTTTTTACCCAACCCAGGGTTTCCCGCTTTGCTTTCTCCCGCCTCTCCAGTCTGTCACCAATGGATTTCATGTAACCTACCTACTTCCCCTCCTGTGATTGCAATATATAAAAACAGGGGGAAAGTTTTCAGAGTAATTTAAATTGGCTAATTGATATTCTAGAAAAACTGATTGTACTGTACAAAAAGCTGTTCTTAAAGTGTTAACAAAATTTTTATTGGTGAAGGGAGAAACCAAGATAGTGGCCTAGGTAAGCATCTAAGCTGCCGCCTCACACAGCAATTTAAAAAACAACTAAAATCAGAATGGACTTCATCCAAAAACACAGGAAAGCTGGCGGAGTGGGAAATCTACAACTAGAAAGAAGGAGAGAGGCTCAGGGATCAGACTGGGAGCTGCAAAGCGCTGAGGTAAGGAGACGCTCGCACACAGAGAGGAAGGGTGGCCGAATGCCTGGCTGCAGGAGGGGAGGAATTCCCGATTGCACTGAACCCTTTCCGACTGTACTGACCCCAACCCCAGCCGAAACCCCATGGACCCAGGCACATACGGATGGAGTCTGGAATGTAGAGAAAGGCACCCAGAGATTCAGAAACTGGGAGACCGGGGGAGCTGCAGCGGGCAGGGTCTACAGTTGCACACACATGAGTACACGCAGAGGTCTGATCACGGAGGTTGCCGCAGCCTCTTTGTAGTGGAAGGAGTCAGAAGCTCCAGACTACAGAGACCCAACCCAATTCCGGGTGAGCCTCTGGGGCACCCACACTCTTGCACAGGGAATCTGGGAGCCTCAGAAGGCAGAGGTCAGGTGGAAACTCAGGCAAACGCACAAGGGCAGGGCTGACGAGAAGCCAAGACTGTCATCTCAGCCCTGAGACTCTGCCCCATCCAAGCTGAGCACAGAGGCTTCTGCTATTTTGCAAATCTGATCCTATAAGACTGTCTCCAATACAGAAGGTATCCCAGAGTATACACAACTGATACTCACATCCAATTGACCTGAAGGTCAATTCCTCCCAGGGATACCAACAATCAAGATTTAACCACAACAAGGCTGTATACGCAATCCACAAAGGGGAGCACTGAGGAGGCTGACACACTGGGCCATATAGGACATCAAACACACAAAGCCATCCTACCAACTCTGGGAAGCAACGAAAATGCCGAGACAAGGAAATAAATCTCAAACAAAAGAGATGGAGGATATAGAGTTCAAAACCACGGTTTTAAGGTTATGCAAGAATATCCTAGAAAAGGCCAATAAATTTCATGAGACCCAACTAAAAATTAAACATAAACTGACTAAATGGGAAAATATTATGTAGAGATCCAACAGCAGAATGGAGGAACACAAGAACCAGGTCAAAGAGCCAAAAGACGCTCCTCTGGAGAAGCAAGAAAAAAAGAGAATCCAGAAAGTTGAAAATAGTGTAAGGAGCCTCTGGGACAACTTCAAGTGTACCAACATCAGAATTATGGGGGTGCCAGAAGAAGAGAGAGTGCAAAATACTGAAAACATACTTGAAGAAATAATATCAGAAAACTTCCCCCACCTGGTGAAAGAAATAGACTTACAAATACAGGAAGCGTACAGAGCCCAGAACAAGAGGAATCCAAAGAGGACCACACCAAGACACATCATAATTAAAATGCCAAGGGCAAAAGACAAAGAGAGAATCTTACAAGCAGCAAGAGAAATGCAGTTGGTTACCTATAAGGGAGCACCCAAACGACTATCAGCTGATTTCTCAACAGAAACTATGCAGGCCAGAAGGGAGTGGCAAGAAATATTCAAAGCAATGAATAGCGAGAACCTACAACCAAGATTACTGTATCCAGCAAAGTTATCATTCAGAATTGAAGGGCAAATAAAGAGCTTCACAGATAAGAAAAAGTTAAAGGAGTTCATCACCATCAAACCAGTATTATATGAAATGCTGAAAAGTATTATTTAAGAAGAGGAAGAAGATCAAGTGAATTAAAAATCTGAGGAACAGAATAAACTGGTGAATAGAATCAGGGGCAAAGAAAGGGAGTGGATTGATAATTATCAGGGTGAAAGGGGTGTGGGGGTGCAGAAAGAGACTGGATTAAAATCGTATAACCTATGGATGAGGACAATAGCAGGGGGGAGAGGGGGAAGTAAGGGCAGAGGGTGGTGCAGGAACCGGGTGGCAAGGAGCTATTGGGGGAGGAGAGGTAGGAGAAACAATTGAATAATCTGAGCAATAAAGATTTATTAAATAAAAAAATTTTATTGGCAGTTCATCTCATGGTAAAATTGCATAACATGTAATGAACCTAAAGCAGTCATATTTTAGTGCAAAAAAATTAATTTAAAAGCTACCAAGACTGCATTATAAAATTTCCAAAAGCCTCCTAATATTTAAATTTAAAAAAAGGTGAGGATAGTAGAAGAATATCATGTAAGGAAAAATATCCTGTAAGTAAATTACATCTATAAAATTTTTACTTTAGGAAATTAACTTTCATTTGTAATGCTAACAGCAAGACACGCATGAAAAACACACATAGTGTCAAAACAAACCAGAGGAAAAGCATTTGGGCAAAAAAAGAAAAAGGATCTCAAGTCAAGTTTATAGAAAAGATTCCTTTATTAACTTGTGGTTGAGAATATGTTTGTATATTTTCAGAAAACAATTCCAAGACCATGTTTGTATATTTTCAGAAAACAATTCCTGCAAGAGAGAGGAACTGACAGGACTGATCCAGCCTGACAGAGCTGGTCGCTCCTCCATGGAGCCTGAGGTCAGAGCTCGGAGAGCCAGGACAGTGAGCCTCTTCCGGTCTGGCTGTGTGGGTGCCAGTCCTATTCTTTGGGGGAATCCTGGTCTATGGAACCCCCACACTCACTGACTGTCCTGAAGTCTGTCCAGTCATCTCCCTCGGAGAGCAGGAGGGGAGTGCCACTTGTGCCGGCAGGACAGGCGCAAAGAACACGAGGGGTGAGTGGGCTCAGTTCCTCCTCTAAACCGGAGGCTCTTCGAATTGGGGCTGTTTCAGAATCACCTGAAGACTGCATGCCTGGCAGGGGGTTCCCGGGTCTATATTATTTTTTTTTTTAATGTTTTTACTGATTTCAGAGGGAAAGGGAGAGGGAGAGGGAGAAACACCAATGATGAGAAAGCATTTCTATTGGCTGCTTCCTGCGCACTCCCTTCTGGGGACCAGATGTGCCGATGGGGAATCAAACCATGACTTCCTGGTTCACAAGTCAACATTCAACCCCTGAGCCACAATGGCTGGGCCCACGTGTCTGTATCCGCAATAAGTCTGTTAGGCTCCCAAGGTTTCAGAATCACCATTACCCACCAGCTGAAAGGGATATAACATATATATCGATATAATTGATTTCAGAGAGGAAGGGAGAGGGAAAGAGAGATAGAAACATCAATGATGAGAGAGACTCATTGATCAGCTGCCTCCTGCAGTTCAAGCCCACAACACAGGCATGTGCCCTTGACAGGAATCAAACCCAGGTCCACAGGCCACTCTCTATTAAAAACATCCTAGCCCTTGCGGAAACCGGTTTGGCTCAGTGGTAGAGCGTCGGTCTGCGGACTGAAAAGTCCTGGGTTCCATTCCGGTGAGGGGCATGTACGTTGGTTGCGGGCACATCCCCGGAAGGGGGTGTGCAAGAGGCAACTGGTCGATGTTTCTCTCTCATCGACGTTTCTAGCTCTCTAGCTCTCTTCCTTCCTCTCTGAAAAAATCAATAAAATATATTTTTTAAAAAAACAAAAAACATTCTAGCCCTGGCTGGTCTGGCTCAGTGGATGGCGCATCGACCTGCGGACTGAAGGGTCCTGGGTTCAGTTCCGGTCAAAGGCATGTACCTAGGTTGTAGACTAGATCCCTGGCCCTGATCAGTACACATGCAGGAGGCAACCAATTGATGTGTCTCTCTCACGTTGATGTTTCTCTCTCTGTCTCTCCCCCTCTCTTTCACTCCCTCTAAATATCAATGGGAAAATATCTTCAGGTGAGGATCAACAACCACAACAAAAAAGAAAACATCCTAAACGCCCACCCAGTCTCAAGCTCCAGGTTGCAGCTGAGCAGAGAGGGACGGTGTGTTTTATTGACGGGGGGTTTCAGCCGCGGTTTGGCGTGCATGCAGGGCGGCCGGCAGGTTTGGGGGGGGGAGGGGGTAAGAGGTACTGAGCGGCCTGGGCTGAGACCTCTCGCGCCAGTGGCTTCACAGAGCTCAGTCCCTCAGCAGGGACGTTCCCACACACATGAGGTGAGTCCCAGGGCCCTTGATGTCTCTGCCATCTGCGCTCGTGATGTCATGGAAACTTGTGTGTGGCTGGGCCTCCCTGTGGTGAGGAGCCCAAGCCAGGAAGCGCTGTGCTGGGGCTGCCTGGAGGCGGCAGGCAGCCGGGGAGCGGGGAGCGGGGCGGGCGGACCTGCCCCCAGGAGCCCATGGTCAGAAGCACGAGAGCCAAGTTGGGATGAGAGATCACCACCACCGGGTCCATGGAGCCAGAGGCAGGGGAGCGGTGAAGGGAGGACACGCGGGCAGGGAGGGCAAGGACCCTGCCAAGTCAGGGCGGCTCCTGGGCCTGGGCCCAGAGCTCCGAGAAGTGCAGGAGCCGCCACGTGAGGAAGTCATCTTTATTGGCGGGGCAGGAGGAGGAGGGACGGTCGGCAGCTGGTGCTCCATGCGTCCCCGTTCACCTGCTCCGAGGCCAGTTGTCTCCCAGGTGGCTGTACTGAGCGTTGTTCCGGTCTCTGAGGGGCTAGGAGAGGAGAGGGGGCGGGGGCAGGGCGCCCCAGGGGCCCCAGTCAGTGCTGAGAGCTGGTGCCTGGCCTCTCCAGACCCCACCCCCAGTGAACTCCCTGCTAGGACCCTTCATACACGCACTAACCCCAGTGTCAGCTTCTGCATCGCCCCACCCCCACCCCCACCCCATCCCTCTCACCAGGGCTCACCTGGTAGAGCTGGTCGTTCCTCAGTAGAGCTTGAGTGTCAGCAGCTAGAAGAGCCAGGAAAGCGTATTAGAAAGGGCCTGAGGGGGTGGGGGGGCGGGGTGCGACCCTGGGACACTGCCTGGGAGCTGCAGGCGGTCCCCGCCTCGGAAGTCTGTGTGAGCAACGTGGCACCCCCGCCCTTCAATGCCCAGCTGTAACAGTCCTTACGAGAGGGACTCCCAGCGAGTCACAACCTACTCAGCCCCAGTGCGTGCAGGTGCACACCCACCACACACACCCTCTCTGTCCCTCCACTCACCCCTGGAGAGCCTTCCGGCCTCGTGCCCAGCAAAGCAGTAGACTCCCAGAGCGAGGAGCACGGTGGCGAGGACGTCGGTGACAATGATGCCGGCCAGGGTGGCGGGGTCCAGCTCCACGCAGTTCTGGCACACTGCGGGAGGGGCAGGGGAGAGGTTGGGGGAAGCCAAGGGGAGAGGTTGGGCAGCCCCAGGCTCTCCAGCCAGGCCCTCGGAGAAAGGCCTGCTGGTGGCCTTGCTGTACCCCCCTCCACTCTTCCTCCCAGCACGTCCCCGACGAGGGCCCACAGCATCTGGCCTTCACAGGAAATTAAACAAGGCGAAGGCCAAACACTCTCCCAACGGAGCCCCGTGCTGGGGTCATCGGCTCCTCCTGCTCTCTCTTCCTCAGCTCTGAGGGCCCAGAGTCTGGCTCAGACCGCCATAAGAGGGCCCCCAGTGTGTTTAGAAAACAGATTGGTCCACCACAGTCCACAGCTAGGAAGGCTCCCGTCCAGAGGCCCCCTCCATGCCAACCCAAAGGCTGGGGAGGCACGCACTTCGATAATATACTTGCAGGGTGTGTGAGACGCCGTTTTCCTGCGCCCCTCTGCACTGGTACACTGCCCGAGGGTCCAGGACGCGTTTTCCCAAGTCCAGAGTCTGGTTGTCCGGGAGCTGGCTCCCCATCGTGCCCTCCTGCCACGTAATGTTGCCGGTGCAATTCAGAAACACTTTGTCCTCCAGTTCCTCCACGAATTGCAGGAAGGGGCTCACTGAGGGGGATACTGTGATTGGAGCCACCGCCTCGCTCTGCCCAGACCCCTCGTCCTGCCGAGGCTCAGGCTCAGGAAAGACCAGTTCTAGTCTAGCCCATGGCTTCTTGCCAAGAGAAGTCACAGAGAGAGGCTTCAGGAGGCTGTCCGTGAGCCTCCGGGCCAGGAAGGACACGGCATGGGGGCCATGCCGAGGGGAAGCCCCGGTAGACAAAGAGCACAAGAGGAGCCATGAGGCGGGCTCCTAAGGGCCTTCCTGGAAATGAAACCAGACCACTGATGGAAGTGGAGGGGAGCAGACTGACACCCCAGAGGGAAGGGGGAGCGGGAGATGCACTAAAGAACTCATATGCATCACCCACGGACAGACAGGGTGGTGACAGCTAGGGAAGAAGGAGCATCGGCAATACTCTCCACAGCAGCGATCAATCCGAAGTAAGAATAGGGAAGCAGGAGGGAGCAGAGCCGAGACAGCACCCAGAGGCCTGAGCAGGCAGAGGCGCCTTGCTTGGAGACGGCTGCCTTTCCCTCTCGGAAAACTTCCACCTCTGCTTCCCCGCCCGCCTGCAACACCTGCTTCCGCTCCCCCTTTCCTCACCCCAACAGCAGAGCGAGATGGTGCAGGTGAGAGAAGCAGGGATGAATTACCCGCCCTTGGCCCAACAGGAACCCAGGGCGAATCCCATGGAGAGTTGTAGTTGTGCTGAAGGGGTGGAGGGCAGGGGGCAGGCACAGCACCTTCTAGACCCCCTGCGTGGCGTGGCGAGAGCAGCTCGCAGTCCGCAGAGGCGCTGGCGTCTGCCCCCCAACCCCAGGGAGCAGTGACGCCACCTTCTCCCTGAAGGAACACTCCGTCACCAGTTTGGATACAAGAGCACCTTCTAGAAAAGCCCAGAGCCTCTAAAGCAGGCCCAGAACACATGTATGTGCTCAGGGGGAGAGGGGCATGAGGCTTTCATATCCCACACGCCTGTCCTGCTTCGGGACGTTTCCACTGAAAGGCTGGGTGTCCCAGAGCACCTACCTGCTTGGGTCACCATCCGTCCCGGGTCCCCAGGAGCCAAGCCCACAGAGCTGGTCGCTCTTTCCCCAAATCTGCCCGCCCTTCTGCTCAGCCCACAGCGAGCTTCTCTCCAAGTGCTGCCCCGTGTGCCTGTCAGAGGCCTGGACGCCGGAGGCCGTCTGCCCCGGGGAACAGAGCTGCCATCGCCAGCCGTGGCTCAGGCCCACTCCCCCACTTCCCACAGGGCTCCGGCCTGGGGCCTTCGGAGAAGCACTCAAGGCCAAGGTGAACCCTTCAAGGGGCCGGTCAAAGCCCCACGCCCATTTCCCAGACCGGGCGCTCCACCCCGCAGCCCCTCCGGACAGCCCTGCCCGGGGACAGCCGGCGCCCAGGACCTGCACGCGGCCTCGCTCCGGGCAGCGGCTCTCCCGGTGCCTCCCCCGGAGCTGCCGCCGGAGAAGCCTTACCGCGGGAGAGCAGGGCGGCCAGTGCCAGGCCGGCCAGCAACCTGCCGCGCTCCATCCTCCACAGGACCCACGCGAGAGCTGGAGCAGGAGCTGGAGCTGCAGCAGGTCACAGGTCACAGGTCACAGGTCACAGGTCACAGGCTGCCGGCGGAGAGCGGCCTCCCAGCTGACTCGCAGACGGACAGAGGGGAGGTGGCACCAAAGGCCTGTTTCTCTACCCTCTGCCTGAGGATGGGGTTGTGGGGTGCCCGCTTCCGGTGGGTGGGAAGGAAGCAGGTGCGAGTGCTGTCTCTGGGCAGGAAGCAGGGGTGGAGTGAAGGGGAGCAGAGAAGGGGGGAAGGTTGCCTGGTTTCCGGGAGGTAGAAGGAGCCTGAGGACGGTCCTTTCCTGGTCACTGAATGAAAACAAGAACCTGAGAGTTCCTGTGAACAGCCAGCTATATGTGTGCACCCCCAAAGCTGCCCCTCCCGCCACGGAGTCCCCGCGCCCGGGCTTCCCGGGCCCCTGCCGCCGCTTCTCTGGGCAGCTGGACAGCAACCGCGTGTTCGTACCAGCGGAGGGTGGGCTTCGGAGCCCACCAGAGCCTCGAACCCCAGCTCCAGCCCTGCCTCCCGCTGGGCCTGGCCAGTCGTGGAATTTTCCGTACCACGACAAGGCTTGATTTGGCTCCTGTTTCTTTTTCATTTTTAGTTTCAAGTGGCATTCAACACTGTCCCCGCTGCAGGTGCACAGAGAGTGGCTGCATGTGTGTGTAACTCACCGAGTGGCCCTACCTGGTGCAGTTACCACACAGTTATTGCAATAGTATTGATTATCTTCCTTAGGCTGTACTTTACATCCCTGTGACTACTTTATAACTACCAACTTGTGCTTCTTTAAAAATATATTTTTATTAGTTTCAGGGAGGAAGGGAGAAGGAGAGAGAGAGAGATGATGAGAGAGAATTATTGATCGGCTGCCGCCTGCACACCCCACACTGGGGATCAAGCCCTCAAACCGGGCATGTGCCCAAACCAGGACTTGAACCACGAACGCCTGGTTCATAAGTCAACACTCAACAACTGAGCCATGCGGGCCGGGCTCAATTTGTACTTCTTACTCCCTGTATCTATCTCGTCCAGCTTCCCAAACCCTCTCCCATTTGACAATCATCAGTTTGTTTCTGTATCTATGAGTTTGGTTTTTTGTTTGTTTAATCTACTTTTTTTTATTGATTTTAGAGAGGAAGGAAGGGAGAGAAAGGAAAACGTCGATATGAGAGAGATACATCATCAGTTGCCTCCCATATGCACCCGACCAGAGATCAAACCCACAGCCTAGGTATGTGTTCTGACCGGGAATCAAACCCGAAGCCTTCAGCAAGGACAATGCTCCAACCAACTGTGGCTCACTGGCCAGGTCTGTGTATTCTGCTTTTGAGAGTCCACATATAAGTGAACCCATGGAGCCCTGGTCCTACTCGGTCTGACTCACTGCACCCAGGGCAGTACCCTGAGGTCCACCCACATTGTAAATAGTAAGATTTCATTCTTTCCGTGGTAAGCAGTGACTGCCATCTTACTTGCTGTTTTCAGACTGCTTTTGTAGTTCTCTGTTCCTTCTTATTCTCTTCTCCCTTCTCTTGTATTTTTTTATCTTTATCGTTGAAAGTATTATATATGTCCCCATTTTTCCCCCATTGACCTTTTCCAGCCCACCCCGGGCCTCCTGCATGTTGTTGACTTCCTGTAGTGTTGTATCTGGATTCGTACCTCTTATTTCCTGTGTATCTCTTGTAGATTTTTCAGTTTATGGGTTTCCATGTGTTCGGTATATACCAAGCCATGCTTACAGCAGTCCATGTTAAGTGGATGGTCACTTAAGTTCAAACACTTTCTAAAATCACCATCATTTTTACTCACCCCCTCCATATTTATGTTGTTACTAGTTTTTCTTGTGTGCTTGTGTGTATCCTTTAATTTACTGTTGTAATTATACACGATCTTCCCACTTTTTAAAATATTTTTATTGATTTCAGAGAGGAATGGGGAGAGAGAGATAAAAACATCGATGATGAGAGAGAATCATTGATTGGTTGCCTCCTGCATGCCCTCTACGGAGGGATCAATCCCACAACCTGGGCATGTGCTCTTGACCAGAATCGAACCCGGGACCCTTCAGTCTGCAAGCAGACGCTCTATCCACTGAGCCACAGCAACCAGGGCTGACCTTCCGCTTTTGCCTTTTAATCTTTGTACTTGCTTTAGTGTTGGTCAATCCACTGACTATGTTATGTGTTTGACTCGGACAGAGATAGGGCCTGAGATCTCGGGAACTTCACTCAGTCCCTGGGCCTTGGCAACGCTTGGCCTGTCTTGTTGGAATTGTCCTGTCGATTCCTCCCAAGCAGATACCTCTTTGATGATCTCCTCTCAAAAGGACAGTAAAAAATTCCCGAATGAGGACCCGGAGGGAAGTGGCTCTTGTCAGATCTCCAGCCCTGAGCACTCAAGAGTTCCCACCTTTGTTAGTTCTAGCAACAAGCGACAGCTGGCTATGATACCAGCAACGAGGAGTGTCAGCGATGTTTATCTCCCCCGTGGAGACAGGGGCCCACGCCGTGGACTGCCCAGCACCCAAGGTTGTTCTCTGTGCAAGCCAGAGTCTCTGCGATGGGAATCCAGCTCTCTCCCCAGCCACGCCACCTCCCACCCTTCTCTCCCTAACGGAGAGCAAGGACATCTGCACCTGCAGCTGCTGAGCCCCAGCTGACCACACTTGAAGCTGAGGCGGAGGCTCTGGGTTCCTGCCTTCTCGCAGGGGCCCAGCCTGAAGGGTACTGGGTGGAGCCAGGCGAGTTCTGCGTAGGCTGGCTGGCTGCTAGCAGTTGCTCAGTGTTTCTGTGGGAGAAGGACAGAGACCGACATGGAGCAGGGGAGGCGTCTGGCCGGCCTCATCCTGGCAATCTTTCTTCTTCAAGGTAAGAGCGGCTTAGGGGGCCCGGCAGCCTGGAGAGAGACTTAAGGCCACCAGCATGGGACAAGATTATTGGGATCCACGACCTTGAGCCTACCTCAGCTATCACCTTGGAGTTCAGAGAAAGCAGCGTAAAAATAAAGCCTGTTACTATTCTCTGTGAGAGGGAAGCAGTGGCCCATGAGAGATGGGGTCTCCATCTCCTGAGGGATCATCAGAGAACTTAGCAGTCTAGAGAGAAAACCCGGAAGTCACCATCTTAGGTTTGAATGTAGCCCGAAAGGGCACAGGCCAGGAACCTGAGAAGAAAATGTATGTGTTTTTAAACTAGCCCTGGGGTTAGGAGTAGACCTGTAAAGCACTCACTCAGTTGGTCAGTCCATCAACTGGTCAACCAGTATGGGTGAGGTCCTATTATGTAAGAGACTAGGAAGATACAAATGTAAATAAAACCTTCTGCCCTGCCCTGGCCGGTGTGGTTCAGTTGCTTAGAACACCATCCCATACGCCAAAAGGTGGTGGGTTCAATTCCTAGTCAGGGCACAAACCTAGGCTGTGGGGTTTAATCCCAGGTTGGGTCGCATGCCAGAGGCAGCTGATCAATTTCTTCTCCTTCTTCTTCTTCTTCCTCTTCTTCTTCTTCTTCTTCTTCTTCTTCTTCTTCTTCTTCTTCTTCTTCTTCTTCTTCTTCTTCTTCTTCTTCTTCTTCTTCCTTCTCTCTCTCTCTCTTCTCTGTAAAAAAAAAAATTAAATAAATAAATAAAATTTATTCTGCCTAAAGAACTCATAAACTAGTTCTACGAATAAGTTTCAGTGTTTCCAGATTGAATGTTAGGTACAATAAGAAATGCCTCTGTGAGTATTAGTTGTAATATCCAATGGGAAGTGGATGAACTGGGCCATGCCTACATTCTGGACTGCAGATGGTTCTCCATATAATGGGGAAGCTAACCCGTGAAAGCTGTTGGAATCACACAAGTACTGTGTTAGATGTGAGGACGAGGGGGCTGAGGATAGAACTGTGAGGATACCAACCTTTAAGGGGTAGTTAGAGAAAAAATATCTCTGGAAAGAGATAAGGGAATGATCAAAGAGCTGGAATAATCAGATGATTCCAATACTATGGAAACTGAAGAAGTAGAATGTTTCCAAAGTTTCTACTGACAGTACGAAATTTTAAAGAGTGATCCACTAATATAAGAATATATTTATAGGTTTAAGTATGTGGGATTTGGCAACATAAAGGTCATAAATAATTTTTTTTTCATTTTTTAATTAAGATATTATATGTGCCCAAAACCGGTTTGGCTCAATGGATAGAGCGTCGGCTTGAGGACTTGAAAGGACCCGGGTTCAATTCCGGTCAAGGGCATGTACCTTGGTTGCGGGCACATCCCCAGTAGGGTGTGCGCAAGAGGCAGCTAATCGATGACTTTCTCCCATCGATGTTTCTAGCTCTCTCTCTCTCTCCCTTCTTCTCTGTACAAAATCAATAAAATATATATTTTTTAAAAGATATTATATGTGTACATATCTTACCATTGCCCCCCAACCCCACTCCTATACATGCCCTCACCCCCCAGTGTTTTGCATCCATTGGTTATGCTTATATGCATGCATACAAGTCCTTTGGTTGATCTCTTATCTCCCTAACCTTCCCGCTGTAATTTGACAATCTGTTTGATGCTTTACTGTCTCTATATCTATCTTTTGTTCATCAGTTTATAATGTTCTTTAGTATCCATAAATGAGTGAGATCATATGGTATTTTTCTTTCATTGACTGGTTTATTTCACTTAGCATGATGTTATCCAGTTCCATCCAGGTTGCTCTAAATGGTAAGAATTCCTTCTTTTTTATGGCAGCATAGTAGTCCATTATGTAGATGTACCATAGTTTTCTGATCCAGTCATCTGCTGATGGGCACCTAGGTTGTTTCCAAATTTTAGCTATTGTAAATTGTGCTGCTATGAACATAGGGGTGCATATATCCTTTCTGATTGGTGTTTCTAGTTTTTTGGGATATATTCCTAGGAGTGGAATTACTGGGTAAAATGGGAGTTTCATTTTTAGTTTTTTGAGGAAAATTCATACTGTTCTCCACAGTGGCTGCACCAGTCTGCATTCCCATCAGCAGTGCACGAGGGTTCCCTTTTCTCCACAACCTCGCCAACACTTGTTATTTGTTGATTTGTTGATAATAGCCATTCTGACAGGTATGAAATGGTACTGCATTGTCATTTTGATTTGCATCTCTCGGATAATTAGTGACTTTAAGCATGTTTTCATGTGTCGCTTGGCCTTCCTTCTGTCTCCTTTTGAAAAGATTCTATTTAGGTCTGTTGCCCATTTTTTATTGGATCATTTATCTTCCTTTTATTAAATTGTATAAGTTGCCTGTAGATGTTGGATATTAAACCTTTATCAGTGATAACATTTGCATATATGTTCTCCTATACAGTGGGGTTTCTTGTTGTTTTGTTGATGATTTCTTTTGCTGTGAAAAAAAGCTTTTTATTTTGATGTAGTCTCATTTGTTTATTTTCTCTTTAGCTTCCATTGCCCTAGGAGCAGTATCTGTGAAGTTCTTTCAGCATATGTCTGAGATTTTGTTGCCTGTGGATGCCTCTAGTATTTTTATGATTTCCTATCTTATATTTAAGTCTTGTATCCATTTTGCGTTTATTTTTGTGTATGGTGTAAGTTGGTGATCTAGTTTCATTTTTTTTTGCACGTATCTGTCCAATTTTCCCAACACCATTTATTGAAGAGACTGTCTTGGCTCCATTGTATGTTCATGCCTCCTTTGTAAAATATTAATGCATAGTGTTTTGGGTTGATATCTGGATTCTCTATTCTATTCCATTGGTCTATATGTCTGTTCTTGTGCCAGTACCAGGCTGTTTTGAGAATTACAGTGGCTTTGTAATACAGCTTGAAATCTAGTATTGAGATCCCTCCTACTTTATTCTTCTTTCTCAGGATTGCTGTGGCTATACAGGGTCTTTTTTTTATTTCAGATGAGTTTTTGGAGAGTTCTTTTCTAGGTCTGTGAAATATGCCGTTGGTATTTTAATGGGGAGTTCATTGAATCTATAGATTGCTTTGGGTAGTATGGACATTTTAATGATGTTGATTCCACCAATCCATGAACATGGTATGTTCTTCCATCTGTTTATGTCTTCCTCTATCTCTTTTTTCAGTGTCCTGTAGTTTTCTGTCTAAAGGTCTTTTACATCCTTAGTTAAGTTTATTCCTAAGTATCTTAATTTTTTTGGTGCTGTGGTAAATAGGATTGCTTTTTTAGTCTTTCTTTCTGTAAGTTCACTATTGAAGTATAGAAATGCCATAAATTTCTTGGCGTTAATTCTGTATCCTGCTACATTGCCTAATTCATTTATTAAGTCTGTTAGTTTTTCTATGGAGTCTTTCAGATTTTTTATGTACAACATCATGTCATCTGCAAATAAAGACAGCTTTACTTCTTCTTTTCCAATTTGGATTCCTTTTATTTCTACTTCTTGTCTGATCACAATGGCTAATACTTCCAGTACTATGTCAAACAGGAGTGGTGAAAGTGGGCATCCCTTTCTTGTTCCTGTTCTTAGGGGAAATGGTTTTAGTTTTTTCCCATTGAGTATGATGTTTGCTGTGGGTTTATCATATATAGCTTTTATTATGTTGAGGTATGATCCTTCTATTGCCACTTTGTTGAGAGTTTTTATCAAGAAAGGGTGTTGGATTTTGTTGAATGCTTTTTCTGCATCAATTGATATGACTATGTGATTTTTATCTCTCAATTTGTTTATGTGATGTATCATGTTTATTGATTTGCAGATATTGTACCATCCTTGCATTCCTGAGATAAATCCTACTTGGTCATGATGTATTATCTTTCTGATGTACTACTGGATCAAATTTGCTAGAATTTTGTTGAGGATTTTGGCATCTATGTTCATGAGGGATATTGGCCTCTAATTCTCTTTCATTGTGTTGTCTTTATCAGGTTTTGGTATTAGGGTGATGCTGGAAGGAGCTTGGAAGTGTTCCTTCCTCTTGAATTTTTTTGGAATAGTCTAAGGTGTATAGGTTTTAGTTTTCCTTGAATGTTTGATAAAGGTCATGGATAATTTAGAACCATTTCTTTGGGGTAGTGTGAGTAGAAGCCAAATGGAAATGAACTGAAGGGGAAGGACAGATAATAAAGATAAGAAAGCATAGACTATTCTTTAAAGAAGTTTGGAAGAAAAGGAAGGATAGTTTGAGTGGTAAATAGGGGGGAAACAGAGCCTAAGAACAAATTGTTTGAGTGTGAAAAAAAATTTGAGCACATTTCTAGGCTGAAGGAGAAGATAGTGAATAGAGGTCCTGGAGTTGATGTTGAAAGGATGGAGTCAAGAGTGGGTCAATGGCACAGAGAAAAAGGCAACCTCACCCTCTAGACTAGAAGGGAGGAAGTGCAGATAGCTTCAGTCACAGGTAAGCTTATAGAAGAAAGCTGCAGGAGAAAGAGCCATGATAGCATTTATGTTCTCAACAAACTAAGAGGGAGGCAATGCCACCTGCTGATGCTGAGCTGGATAGTGACTGAGTAGGTCATGAAGGGGACAGTGAGAGTTTATCATTATTTCTGAGGGGAGTTGAGAAGAATGACACAGGTGGATGGGCAATGCATAGAGTCCATGTGAGGCAGAAAGAGCATCAGGCTGAGCAACAGAAGCCTGTGCCCAGCCTCCAATACGCTGTGTGAACTTGGACAATTCTTGCTCCCGTGGGGCTCATTCTCTCAGCACTCAACCCAGGAAACTTGACTACATGAGCTCTCATGTCCCAAAAGGAGGCAGGATTCAGATAAACAAAATTAAAAGATGCTAGCAGTCCATTAGACCCTCTTTCCTATGGAACCTGAGTTAAAATAAGGGACCTCTTTGTCCCTCCCATAGTGAGCAGATGATTGGGGAGAACTGGTGAGAAATCTGCTTAACTGTTTGTCTTGATTTTTAATTTGTTCTCATATATTCGTCTATGCATCTATTCAACAAACATAAAGCTCTTGTTATGGTCCAGGCACTGTGCTGGGTACTAGTCACAAAGAGTTCAGTCTTATGGAACATCCTACAACAGTTGACTCCTTTCAACTACTTCCATCATACTTTGTCCTTTCTTTTACTTTTTCTTTTTTAATTATATCTTTATTGATTTCAGAGAGGAAGGGAAAGGAAGAGAGGGCTAGAAACATCGATGATGAGAAAGAATCATTGGTTGTCTTCTACACATCTCCTCCTGGGGATTGAGCCCACAACCTGGGCATGTGCCCTGACTGGAAATCGAACTGTGACCTCTTGGTTCCTAGGTTGAACTGAGCCATGGCATCCAGGCCATCATACTTTTATACATGCCCATTATTTCCCTCTAGCCATATTACCTCTCTTGTCCTTTTCCAAGTCTGTATCTTTGCTTAGCTATTCTTTCTTTCCAGAATGCCTTTCTCTAATGAATCCTTCTCTGTTAAGCTTTCCTGTCACTCACCCTTGGGCAAAATCAATAGATTTATCCCCTTTCATGTGTATTCTTATAAATACTAAATGACCATTTATGCTTTATTACATTAATTACATATGTGCTTATTTTTTTCCACTTCATTGTAAACTCTTTGGAAATGGCAACTAGTTCTTCATATCCCCACCCTTTTCCTCCTCATTGCTCAATCATGGCAGGAACATAATAGTGCTCAGAAAATGTCTGGATTGAATCCAATTGGATTGAACACCAGTGCTAGTTCTCTGTAGTGATTCTACCATACAACTCTACTATTCTAGGTTTTGAGACAGATTTGGGATCTTGAATATCTAATTCCCATAGGACACCTAGGGTTTCTACAAGAAATAAGTCATCAAAACTGAAGGTTTTAGCAGTCACTCAGCTGAGAAAGGCTTTAGCTGGTGCACACTCACTCCTTGCCAGGACCTCAGCTGCTAAAGGGACAGCGTTCCAGCTGTGCAGACCACACCCTTCCCTATGCTGCAATACAATTCTGATGCTAAGAGTGAGCATCGAACCCAGGAGTTAAGAGCACAGACACCAACAAGACTGCCTTCACTTTGTTGTTGTTGTTAGTTTGTTTTGTTGTTGTTAATTCCCATTCAATGATATTTTTCCATTGATTTTTTGACAGTGGAAAAGAGAGGGAAAAACAGAAACACTGATGTGAGAGAAACACATCAATTGATTGCTTCCTGCATAGGCCTTGAGCCTGGGCTGGGCAGAAGCCTGTAACCAACGTACGTGCCCTTAACTGGATCAAACCCGGGACCATTTGGTCTGCAGGCCAACGTTCTATCCATTGAGCCAAGCTGGCTAGGGGAAAAACTGCCCTCACTTTAAATGCTAAGCACAAGTTCAGGGATCTCTAGGACATTCCCACCACCCCCTTGGGTCTACCAATTTGCTATGACAACTCATAGAACTCAGGAAAACACTATACTTACAATTACAGTTTTATTCTTAAAAATGAAATCAGGACCAGCTATATGAAAAGACATGCGTAGGGTGGGACCTGAGAAGTTCTTGAACACAGAGCCTCCGTGCTTCTCCTGTGAAATCCCCTTCCTGGCATGTTGATGTGTTCACCAACCAGGAAGCTCCACTGAATTTTTCTTGGGGTTTCATTACATAGGCATGACTAATTGAAAAATTGGCCAGGGACTAAACTCAATCTTCAGTGCCCCTCCCCTCCTAGAGCTCAAAGTCTCAATTCTTTAATCACATGTTGGTCTTGACCAACCCTTTCCTGAATCATCTCATTCATTATACTGGTAAACTCACCTGTAATCCAAGGGCACACCAAGAATAACAAAAGCACTCCTTAAATTCAAGGGTTTAGAAACTTCCTCCTAGGAATTCATGACAGCAACCTGATAAATTCTTCATTGCACAACACCTTGGATTCAATTTGGTGGCTCGGGTTAACAATCCAGGGACATAGATATAGATACCTTACTCCTGTGGATTAACATCTCTCTTCATTTTGGCCTCAAATGACCACTTAAATGATACCTCAGGGCATCTGAATTCCCAACTGACCCTGTGTCTTTCTTCTATCCCTACAGGTACAATTGTCCAGTCGCAAAAAGGTAGGGGAATGGCTTCTTTCTCTGCTGAAACTCTGAGGAAATTCATGGAAATATGCCTTCCTAAAACAGTAGTTCTGGATGAGATAATGAGTGATAAGTAACAAACTTCTCCATTGTCAATCAAATGGCTAGTCATTCTTGGAGGAGGTAGGAACTACTCAAAATGTTACCCATGAACCAATGGTATAGACACCATCTGGGAGAGCTGCAGAGTCTCAGTCCTCCCCAGAACTCCTCACTTAGAACCGAAGTTCTAGATAGATCCCCGGGTGCTTCCTGGACAAACTGATGTCTGAGAAGACGCAGTAATGCGGTCTTCTTTTGTAGCCTGGGTGGAAGAATGTCAGAGGCAAGATCTTTGACAGACCATGGCTTTTCTCTTTTCAGGAAACCATTTGGTAACAGTGGATGACAATCAAGAAGATGGTTCAGTACTTCTGACTTGTAACTTGAAAGGCAAAGATATCAAGTGGTTTAAAGATGGGAAGGAAATAACTACTACAAACGAAAAAACATGGAGCCTGGGAAGTAGTTTGAAGGACCCACAAGGGACATATTGGTGTCAAGGATCAGTGAACAATTCAAAACCACTCCAAGTGTATTATAGAAGTATGTGACACACCCACACACACACACACACACACACACACACACACACACACACGCACACACACACACCTTTGGTTTGCTTGCTGTGAAATTAAGCTATACTTACTATTGGTGATTTCCTGTATGGAATGAGTGAAAAATAGATGCTAAACAGTGATAAAATGGATGTGAAACATCCCAATTCTCTTCATCTCAGCTTGCCTCTCATTGAAAATAACAAGACAGTTCCCCCAGCTTCTTTTTGTTAAATATATTTTTATTGATTTTAGAGAGGAAGAGAGCAGGAGAGACAGAAACATCAATGAGAGAAAATGATTGATCAGCTGCCTTCTGCATGCCCCCTACTAGGGACAGAACCCACAACCCAGGCATGTGCCCTTGACCAGAATTGAACCTGGTACGCTTTAGTCTGCAGGCCAACTCTCTATCCACTGAGCCAAACCAGCTAGGGCTCCACCAGTTTCTTGGTAAAACATATCCAGTTCCCAAAGACTGGTTTACCTTTGTGTGGCCTCCTGGATTAGAGCAGTTAGCAATTTATATAAACTAAGTTAGGGTGGGTAGGGGAGACAAGAGATGACAAGGTGAGCAGCAGTGAGATGTAAAAGGCAACTGAGCACAGAGAAGGGTATCTGGTATTCTTCAGTTTCACATAGTTCGGGGCCATAAGACTACCTGGGCTTCTCTGGGACTTCGGGAAGAGAGAGGAACATCAAGAAGCATTGCATTCTTAGTCCAAGGATCTTCCCAGGCCATACAATCCACAGGGAGAGCAGTCTGTTGCCCTAGCCAGACAAAGGCATATTGTTGATAGATAGGAACAAAAGATCCAGAAAAACAACTTTCACACCCTGAAGTAGATTTGTCTCCCCTTTCCTCACAGTGTGTCAGAACTGCATTGAGCTGAATGCATCCACTGTGTCTGGCTTTGTCTTCGCCGAGATCTTCAGCGTTCTCTTCCTCGCTGTTGGAGTGTACTTCATTGCTGGACAGGATGGAGTTCGCCAATCAAGAGGTAAAAGAATGTTCTTAGATGAGATATGAGACCATCTGGGGCCCTCAGCTTCCTTCCAACCAAAATAGCCCCAGAGAAGAGCCTGCGCTGGTTGGTACCTGCTGGAGAGGCTCCCTCTGTGGCCAGGAGGAGGGATGCTTAGTGCTTTCACGGCATATTTACCTGCAAGACCCAACTCCCCATTCATCCTCTGTGGTTTTTAAAACTCTTTACTGACGTAAAACCTACATACAGAAAAGTGCATGAAGTAAAACCTACATACAGAATCACAAGCAAACAGCTCAACAAGATTTAATAAAGTAAGCACACACATGAATCCAGCACCCAGTTTAAGAAAGAATATTACCAGCATCTTAGAAGTCCCCCTTGTGGTCACTTCCAGACTCTCCCTATCTCCAAAAGTGAGCACTATGCAGACTTACAACATTGATTAATTTTGTCTGTTTTTGTGGCTTATGTAAATGGACTCATACAGTAAGTACCTAATGTGTGACTTCTTTCGCCCAATAATGTGCTTGTGCTATCCACTCACATTCATATATATATATATATATATATATATATATATATATATATATATACACACACTAGAGGCCTGATGCATGAAAATTCATGCACTGGGGGGCTCCCTCAGCCAGGCCTGCCCCCTCTCCCAGTCCGGGAGCCCTCAGGGAATGTCCTCTGTGGAAGGCAAGAGAAGGCAAGAGGATCATTGATCAGTTGCCTCCTGCATGCCCCACACAGGGATCAAGACCGAAACCTGGGCGTGTGCCCTCGACAGGAATCAAACCCTGGACCCTTGAGTCCCCAGGTTGACACTCTATCCACTGAGCCGCCCCCATCACAAGCAAACAGCTCACTGCCAGCCACAGCAGCTCCAAAGCCTAAGCCTGGGCCACACAGCTGCTGTGCTGTGGCTTTGTCTGGATGGAGTCCAGAAGACATCCACCCTAATAGCATAGTGCCCTTCTATTAGGATAGATGTTTTTATTGACTTCAGAGAGGAAAAAAGAGGGAGAGAGAGACAGAAACATCAATGATGAGAGAGAATCATTGATTGGCTGCCTTCTGCACGCCCTCCACTGGGGATGGAGCCCACAACCTGGGCAAGTGCCCTGACTAAGAATCGAACCATGACCTTCTGGTTCATAGGTTGATGCTCAACCTCTGAGCCACACCAACCGGGCATCCACTCATGTTCTTGTACATAGGTGTATTTCGCTAATTCTTACTGTTATTTAGTATTCCATTGTGTGACTATAACCCAATTTATCATCCTCTCTACCGTGTGTGTGTGTGTGTGTGTGTGTGTGTGTGTGTGTGTGTGTGTGTGGTTTATCTTTTGTGCAGCTTCAGACAAGCAGACCCTGTTGTCCAATGACCAGCTCTACCAGGTAAGGGAACATTGCTACAATTAGTGGTGTTTTAACATTTTGAAATGAGGGTGGGGCAAATTATTTGGAAGATGCTAGATAGATAAGAAACTGCTTAGGACATGTCAGATGGTGGCATAGTTACCCCTCTGGGTGGAAAGGATGAAATAGGAGAAGGGTTGAGAGGGGCTGAGGTCAGGATCTAGTGAGCAAAATCAAAGAACACACCGAGAGGGAAAGCCTCCATCTGCTCGTCCTCTTTCTGCCCCAGGACCACAAAGCACCCACGTCAAAGGCTTGCACGTAAAAAGTACTCAATACATATGCATCTTACTAATTCATGAGGCTGGGGGGATTGTGCTTATGACTATGCTGTCCTTTTAGCCCCTCAAGGATCGGGAAGATGACCAGTACAGCCACCTGCAAGGAAACCAGCTGAGGAGAAACTGAGCAGGACTCTGAGGAGCTGTGTCCTACATCATTTCCACGGCAGTGCCTTCATATTCCCTGCCCGCCCCTCCGTGCCACGTCTGTCTCCTTCCCCAAGAGCTATGAAGACCAGGGGTGGGTGCGGGCTGATTGTGGGGGCCATTTCTAAAGACGCAGGGGCTAGCAGTGCTAATGTTCTTGACCTAAAACATATGAAAGCTGTGTATGTCTTTACATTCTTTCAGAAGAGGAATGCTGAATATTAATCTTATTTCTAAATAAATGTTTTCAGCATCCATACTATTAACATTTTGTTCTATTTGTATACATAAACGCATAACCCATGGACACAGACAGTGGACTGGTGAGGGCCTGGGGTGTGGTGGGGATGTGGGGGGATGAAGGGAGTAGGTGGGAGAAAGAATGGGATATATGTAATACTTTCAACCATAAGATTTTTAAAAACAATAGTTGGTCTAGGTAATTCTTTGTGGTAAGGGTACTGTCCTGTGCTTTGTGGGGTTTTTAGCAGCCTCCCCTGCTTCTAGTCACCAGAGGTCAGCAGTATCCCCATTTTGACAACTGAAATAATCTCCAGATATTGCAAGTGTCCACTTAGGTGCAAAATCACTTAGTTAAGAACCACTGATTTATATTAGCTTTTCAATCAACCAATAAATCAATCAATCAGAAGTTTCAATCAGGAAAACAGGGCCCAAGCATTATTTGGTTTTCTGAACCAACTATAATTTTTTTAAATATATATATATATATTTTATTGATTTCAGAGAGGAAAGGAGAGGGAGAGAGAGATAGAAACATCAATGATGAGAGAGGATCATTGATCAGTTGCCTCCTGCATGCCCCACACAGGGATCAAGACCGAAACCTGGGCATGTGCCCTCGACAGGAATCAAACCCTGGACCCTTGAGTCCCCAGGTCGACACTCTATCCACTGAGCCAAACCAGCTAGGGCTATAATTATTTTAATTATATTCTTAATGGATAAATTTGATAAAAATTGCTAAGAACAACTGAGGTCACTTAAAATGAGTGCATTTTATAGCAAATTATACCTCAATACAATTATTTTTTTATATTTTATTGATTTTTTTTACAGAGAGAAAGGGAGAGGAATAGAGTTAGAAACATCAATGAGAGAGAAACATCCACCAACTGCCTCTTGCACACCCCCTACTGGGGATGTGCCCGCAACCAAGTTACATGCCTTTCGGAATCGAACCTGGGACCCTTCAGTCCGCAGGCCAACACTCTTTCCACTGAGCCAAACTGATTTCGGCAATACAATTATTTTTTAAATGACACTTTTACAACGTTAGTCATTGCAGCATTCATTGTATGAGCAAGAGATTGGAACTAACTGAAATCTCCATCACATCAAATACAACAGAGTTCAAAGGTTTGGGTAAGCCTTTAAAATTACTGATTCACATCAAAATAATAACCACATCATAATTATCGCAAAATTACAGAACAACCGTCACTTCAGAACCACCTAAAGTCTATCTGAATAGAATACTATAACTTAGGATATAAAGAAGACACATAGAGTCTGGTAGGAGGGGCAGAGAGGTGGAGCAGGCTGGTCCCACACCCACGTGTGGTGGTTAAAAATGGGGAGGGATATCTCAGCTACAGAGCTCTGCCCTGAGGAGTGAGGAGTCTCAGCCCCACACCAGGTCCCCCAGCCCAGAGTTCCAGTGCCAGGAAGAGAAGTTCCCAAAACTTCTGCCTGTAAAAACTAGCAAAGATAATGGCTGAATGAGATGGACTGCTGCTAAAGGGCCCATGCACAGACTTACACAGGCTACTTGCTCAGAACTCCAGCAGTGGGGCAGCAGCTGGAAAGGCACCAGGGACATATGGGGAGGACTGAAGTGTCTGGCATCGGGGCCAGAGCTGGAGGGGCAGCTTTTCCCAAGACAGAAGTGCTGGCCGAGGCCGTTATTCCTGGGCTGAGCCCTCCCCCAACAGAGCAGGCTGGCAAGCACCATATCTGAGATGCCCTCAACCTGGCTAACACTGTTCTCCCTGCCTGGAGATTTCCTGAAACCCCACCCAACTTTCAGACCCACCCAGGCCCTTTCCAGTGGCTTTTCCATATAAACAGCTTCTGAGTCAGTGACCCATACTTCTTGCTAAGTACCCCTAAGCCCCGTACTAGCAACAGCAAGCCTTGGTTCACAGCTTGGCCTCTCCTGGGCACCTCCAAGCCCAGCATAAATAGCAGCCATCTGCAGATAGCTTTGTGGCTCGTGCCAGGAGGCCTCAGGAAGGGTACAAGTAGTGGCTGACCTTGGCATGCACTTGCTGTGTGAATCCAGAGCTAGCACACCTGATGGACAGCCTCAGAGCTCACTGAAGCACCAAACACCTCCACAAGCGACACACTCAAACCTGGACTTGGCAGGTACCTGAGCCCTGCACCATGGGGTTGGCCCCTGCAAAGTAGATCCTCCACATGGTCCTGGCCAGTCCTCCTAGTGGCCAGTACACACAGCCAGCCAGCCAGTTCTCACAGCCAATCGGCCTAGGGGCAAATCCCTCTCATTAACATACCAACAGCAATTAAGGATCAACTACCACAGGCGAATGCACACAGCCCACACAAGGGTGCACCTGGAGCACCCAGTTCAGGTGATCACTGGACCCTCTAGGACACCTACTATATAAGGCCACTCTACCAAGCCCAGAAGACTTAGCAGCTCTACTTAATATATAGAAACAAACACAGGGAGTCAGCCAAAAGGTGGAGACAAAGAAACATGTCCCCAATGAAAGAACAGAACAAAACTCCAGAAAAAGAACTAAACAAAATGGAGACAAGCAATCTACCACATGCAGAGTTCAAAACATGGTTATAAGGATGTTCAATGAACTTAGGGGAATTTAAAGGAACTTATAACTTCAACAAAGATATGAGAAACATATAAACAGAACTAGAAAACATAAAAGAACCAGTCAAAAATGAAAAATACATTAACTGAAATGAAGAATACATTACAAGGAATCAACAGTAGCGTGTGTGGAGAAGAGGATCAAATCTATGATTTGGAATATAAATAGCAGAAAACACCCAATCAGAACAGCAAAAAGAAAAAAAAGCCAAAAAATAAGGACAATGTAAGAAGTGTCTAGGATAACTTTAAGAGTACCAACATTTGTGCCGAAACCGGTTTAGCTCAATGGATAGAGCATCAGCTTGGGGACTGAAGGGACCCGGGTTCAATTCCGGTCAAGGGCATGTACCTTGGTTGCGGGCATATTCCCAGAAGGGGGTGTGCAAGAGGCAACTGATCGATGACTCTCTCTCATCCATGTTTCTAACTCTCTATCTCTCTCTGTTCCTCTCTGTGCAAAATCAATAAAATATATATTTTTTTAAAAAGAGTACCAACATTTGTATGATGGGAGTGCAGGAAAGAAAGAAAGAAATTGAAAACCTATTTGAAAAAATAATGATGGAAAAATTTCCTAACCTGGTGAAAGAAAAAGACAAATCCAGAAAGTGCAGAGTCCCAAACAAGATGAATCCTCAGAAGCCCACACCAAGACACATCATAATTAAAATGCAAAAGATTAAAGACAAAAAAAAAAAAAAAAAAATCTTAAAAGCAGCAAGAGAAAAGCAGTTAGTTACCTACAAGGGAGTGCCATAAAACTGTCAGCTGATTTCTCAACAGAAATTTTGCAAACCAGAAGGGAGTGGCAAGAAATGTGCAAAGTGATGGAACGCAAGGACCTATAACCAAGATTACTGAACCCAGCAGTGCTATCATTTAGAATTGAAGGTCAGATAAAGAGCTTCACAGACAAGAAAAAGCTAGAGGAGTTCATCACCACCAAACCAGTATTACATGAAATGTTGAAGGATCTTTTTTAAGAAGAAGAAGATCAAAATATGAATAATAAAGTAGCAATAACTATATATGTATCAACAATTACTTTAAATGCAAATGGATTAAGTGCTCTAATTAAAAAACATATGGATAACAAAACAAGGCTCTTACATATGCTGTCCACGGGAGACTCACTGCAGATCAAAAGACACAAACGGACTTGAAAGTAAAGCTATGGAAAAAGATATTTCATGAAAATGGAAACAAACAAACTGAAAAAAGCTAGGGTAACAATACTTATACCACAAAATAAACCTTAAAACAAAGCCTTTAACTAAAGACAAAGAAGGACTCAGCCATTCCACCCAAAACACTAAATTGAAAAGATATATACATGCATCCTTATGTTCATTGCGGGATTGTTTACAATAGCCAAGACATGGCAGCAACCTAGGTGCCATTAATAAATGAGTGTATAAAGAAGTGGTGCATATATACAATGGAATATGATTGCCATAAAAAAGAATAAAATCTTGCCATCTGCAACAACATTAATGGACCTAGAGAGTATTGTACTGAGTGAAATAAATTAGACAGAAAGACAAATGCCAGATAATTTCACTTATTTGTGGAATCTAAAAAACACAACAAAATAAACAAGCTGACCTGAAATAGACTCATAAATACAGAGAACTTTTTGATGGTTGTCAGATGGGAAGGGTGGGAAAATATGTGAAAAAAAAGTGAAGGGATGGCCCTAGCCAGTTAATAATGGTTAGAGAGTCAGCCCGAAGACTGAAGGGTCTCAGGTTTGATTCCGATCAAGGGCATGTATCTTGGTTGCAGGCTCAATCCCCAGGCCCAGTCAGGGCATATACAGGAGGCAACCGATTGATGTTTAGGATCTCTGACTCCATGCTTCTGTCTCCTGTCTCTCCCCCTTCCCTTCCACTCTTTCTGGGAATCAATGGAAAAAAATATCCTCAGGTAAGGATTAACAAACAAAAGTGAAGGGTTTAAGAAGTACAGATTGGTAGTTACCGAATAGTCATAGGGATGCAAAGTATAGCATAGGGAATATAGCCAATAATCCTACATAATAAAAGCCCAATGTGCAAATCAACCGAAGGTGGAATGACTGGTCAGCAGGGGGTGGGATC